CGATAAATACCGCGTTATGACAGATTCCAGAACGGAGGCCCTCTGTTGGTTGTGAAACCTTGTGGCCTGTATGGTGTGCTGAATGAGCGCATGCTCATGTATCCACGTTTGAAAGCTTTTTCCCTTCGTCCTTACGGGAGCCTCTCTCTACCCAGCAGATCTCCTTGATAATAAAGTCTCCCAAAATTAAAATCCGCCTAGTCCTCTATAGGAATTCCTGCATAGTAGCACGTAGTTCCATATCTTCTGTGAGTTCCGCCTGGGGTGCGCGATAGTCTAGTATCACTCCTAACGATCGTTTTCCTAGGAGGATACTACACGCCTTGGCTTGAATATTAGGTGTCGCCAGTTTTAATACTGAGTCCGTTTGAGTGTAAGCGGCTTTGATCAGTAGGAGTCCTCCTCCGCCTTGTCTGCCGTCCACCCTATCTTGTCTATAAGCCAAATAGTCTCTGGGCTTCTGTACATCCTGTTCATGCCGCGTCCAGGTTTCAATAATGGCTTTTATCAACCAGTTTTGGGCGCGCGTCGCCAACTCTCCACATTTTCCCCTAACACTGCAGGCGTTAGTGTACCACACTGTGACGGTGTCCACCTCCTCCTTCGCACACCTCTTCTTTATTGCTTGCGATGGATTCTCGGACGTAAGACCCCAGGAGCTACTTCGCCTTTTGATACCATATTTGAGGGTATAGAGCGATCAGACTCCGTGAACGACCAGACTTGGTTGTCTTTTAGGGTTAACCCAAGTTCCTCACCAAGTCTTTTCGCGGGCGCTCGTTGCCTTTTAAGCAGGGATAATGTTCTACTCAGAGGAGGAGTGTCCTCGATATTCCTTGCCACCACTGTGGCCCAACTGACGGACGCTGATTTCGCCTTGCTATCAGCGACCATAGTCTCACCCATCTTTTTTACTCCCTCAGCCTTGGATGGCTCCGACGGAATGGTCTTCGGTGGGCCGTCTGATCTTCTGTTATCCGCTTTCTTCCCAGGGACTCTAGCTTGGGACTGCCTCGGCTTTTTCTCTCTTCTGTTATCGCCTTTTGGCTCCTCTGGTTTGGATTTTAGGAGGAATTTCTCAACGGTGGTTCAGCTGGTAGAATTTGCTGGATCACTTTGAGTTGGTACGCCCCAACCACTCCTATTCCGTGCGCTATATGGGCGTTCATTTTACTCAGAATAACTCTAGGCTTCTGTTGTTGTATTATTCCTGCTGCAGGAACAATGGGGATGAGGCCCCGCTGGGCGTGATGAACTGTATCAGGGGAAACTTCGATGCACCCTCTAGTGTTCATCTCCACTGCAACGGCCCTAGAGAGCAGAAGTTCCCGGCCGTATGTACTGTAAAATACTACTGGTATAGGCATATGTCTGACTGTCTGGTTTTGCCTCCACCACCCAACCCTGTGGCACTTACCATAGGGCTTGTTGGCCGGCATACCCGCCAGCCGGTGAACATCTCGAACATATTTGCGATCCGCCTCTCGTAGCGCTCTAGCATTGCGAATCGTTGGCTCCGCAAAGTTCTGTAGCAAGACATTTCTCGTTCGACCCAGTAGCGCTTGACAGCTGCGTTGAAATTCTTAGAGATCTTTCTCAAACTGTTCTATACGAGCAGTCACCTCTGTCGACTCTAACGGTTTAACCATAGCCCCTTACGTGGTTTCTTTACCTTGGTGTTTGTGATTTCCTATCTTCCATTGCTTTCCTTCGTACTATATTAACGCTTGATGTCACCGCCTTCTTCAGATTCGTTCCTGGTCTCGGCGCGCGAGTATTGGAGATCTGCGGTGAAATAGTGGTCAATGTATTTCATGCTGAATTTTTTGAAAATCCTTCCAAACCCATAATGATTTATAGTGAAATAACTTTATCTATGTGTTGCTCCTATATTGACATGTCTCGATCACGAACACCATACATCATTATTTATCTGTTAATTCGATGCCCGGCAAATTTTAATTTTGCGTGGTCAGAGAACGTGAGCGACTGTTTGCCTCTCTCTGTACATCATTATTGCCTCGCTTCCTTGAGTGCTATCGGTCGCATATTTGAGGTTTGCTTTATTGTAAATTTGGAATGATTTCG